GCAGGGCTGGATGAACACAGCAGGCCAAGCAGCATCATAGGAGCAGATGCTGCTTGGCCTGCTGTGTTCATCCAGCCCTGCACCTTGTTGTCTAGCATACTGGCGGTGGTGTCTACATGAGGTCATTTTACAGTGGTGGGGATCCAATTTAATTTGAAACAAATCTTTCCGGCCTCCATATATATAGGTCAAGAAATACTTTGCACATACTTTGTACGAAAGTGGGCGCTGAAGTTTACCGCCCCCTTTCGTCCCAAAACAGCCGCTGACAAATGGACACAACACAAGCGAACACGATGCACATGGATGGTTATTCCATTGGTACTGCTTATTAATACCCTTCATGAGCTGATAGTAACAACAGCAGAAAATGCTGAAAATATCCTGCAATCAAAGGGCATCAAAGTGGGGGAGAGAGAGAGAAACACCGTCGGTGCCATTTCTTTCTGATCTAATTTACTTCCGACGCAATCCATTCCCACAGCAAACTGGGAGGGAGCAAAGAGATTTATGACCACACAGAGCCCGGCGATTGCGAAAACATTTAAACAACGGCTTATCAGACGGTTTGTATTTTACAATCAAAGCGAGACAAATTAGTTACACAATCCATGCAAACATGGAAATAACTAGGTCAGCAAGCCAACGAGCCATCCTCATGCTGCTATATCCCCGCCTCCATGCGCGCCCTCGCTGTCAAACACCCCTCTCTAAGGCACCGTACGCGCCCCTTCCTACGGTCATTCAAATCCCCGTGCACGCCCGCACCCGTTATCAATCAAACTCCTCATGCGCGCCCCCTGCAGCTGTCAATTAAACCCCAGCGCGCGCCGCTACGCCCGTCAATCAAACCCCAGTGCGCGCCTGTCCATCAAACCCCAGCGCGCGTCCCTCCGCCCGTCAATCACTCCCCAGTGCGCGCCTTGTGCTTTGTGACGTGTCTGCGCGTGATGAGACTGCGCGCGAAGCCGGGTGTCACGTGATGCCGCATGCGCAGATAGGACGGGAAGTGGCCGCTCGTTCCGCGCCTTTTTCCGGTACCGCCGAGACCGGAGACCGGGGACTGGGGACCGGAGCCCGGAGCGAAGCGGACACTGGAGGAGCGGAGAGGCTGGCCCGGTAGACACCCACTCCCCAAGTATCGTGGAGGGAGAACAACAGGCCGCAGGGTTAGTGGGAGCTGCTGCACTGGAGAGTGACTGCGCTGTGAGCCATTACGGAGCCGGGAAACCGGACTCAATGACCTTTGCTGGGAGTGCACAGCCGCTGCTGTAGTTCGGCGGCTGGAGGGAGGCCGAGGTTCACACTCTCACCGACAGCTGCTGCAAGGAACTACCGATCCGAGAGACCCCAGAACGGGCGGCCAGGACAACTCGGCTGCCTCTGAGGCGTTTGCCCCTAGCCCAGGCCAGGCCCTTTTGGTCGGCCAGCTCCACCCGCCTCTCGCTGCCGTGGTTTCTTATGTACTTTCTAGAAGATGGGGAAGGTCCTGTCGAAGATATTCGGGAACAAGGAGATGCGTATATTGATGCTTGGACTTGACGCCGCCGGTAAGACCACCATCCTGTACAAATTGAAACTGGGTCAGTCTGTCACCACCATCCCTACTGTGGGCTTTAATGTGGAGACAGTGACTTATAAAAACGTCAAGTTTAATGTTTGGGACGTGGGTGGCCAGGACAAAATCCGGCCTCTCTGGCGGCACTACTACACCGGGACCCAGGGATTAATATTTGTGGTAGACTGTGCCGACAGGGATCGGATAGACGAAGCCAGACAAGAGCTTCTGCGCATCATCAGCGACCGGGAGATGAGAGAAGCCATCATTTTGATATTTGCAAATAAGCAAGATTTACCCGAAGCCATGAAGCCGCACGAAATTCAAGAGAAATTGGGTTTGACCCGCATCCGAGATAGAAATTGGTATGTGCAGCCGTCCTGTGCCACTTCAGGAGATGGACTATTTGAAGGTCTTACGTGGCTAACGTCCAATTACAAATCTAAATGAACATTAAAAACTGTTTTAGATTAAAAAAAATCAGTTGCCTCGGAACATTTACGAAAGTAATCTTGACTCTACTAATCACCTGTCTGCATTTCTTTGCTATCTAGTTTGGCTTTGCGTTAGAACGTTTTCATATAAATGCGCTGAACTAATCTTGAGCAAGAATCAAATGTTAAGTATTTTGAAAGGTCTTTCTCTAAGCCATTTGCCATTATTTGAATGACTTCCTCTTTCTGTATTCGATTTGGGCTTTTCAACACTTTATGCTCAGTTTCGAGTTCTTCCTTTTTAATGCCTTGCTTTAGATCGCCGATTTTACGTTCATTAAAAGCGACGATGTTGGGTTTCTTTCAATTAGTAAACTTAAGTTTATTTGAACAAATTTAGTCACCGTATAATTATTTGACTTTGTTTCTTTGACTCATCACCAGCATATATTTAAGAGCCCTGCCATTTCTAAACTTGATTGGGGTTTTTTGTGGAGTCAGTTGAAATGTTTCATTTTGATTCTGTGTAGGGTGTGTCCATATGAAACGTATGCTTCTGCCTGTATTCCCATCTGCTGTAATTCTGCCTAACAAAGCAAGTGAATGTGTCGAGAAAATGTTTCAGTATTCCTATACAATGGAAAAATAATCTTGTATGCCAAATACTTGTATAATTAGTTTATGTAGGGCTGCTTTAAATGCTCTAATGCACTGGCTTTAACATCCATACTGTATTCTGAGAGTGCATGTATTACAACCACTGGTGAAGATACAGCACACCCAAAATTAATTTGCATTTGCTGAAGGGAAAGAAAAGACAAAAGGTGGGTAATGTGATTATGACTACTTGGTCATGTGGAGTGATAAATACTGACATGGATGAATTGAACTAAATAATTTGTTTCTGTTGTAACTTCTATGTATTTCCATATGATTCCAATTTCACTTGAGCGATTTTTTTTTTTTTTTTTTGGTTCCTGATGCAAAACAGAAGTAATTTGGAGCCAGGTTGGGTGATAGCAGGGCAGACCACATGAGTAATATAGCAAATGTCAAGAAACATGAAAAGCACCAAATTCTAAATGTATGCTTGGGGGTGGCCCTGCATTTCAAGGCAGGCATTTAACACATTATTGGTAATATTTGTGAAAATGAGGATACGCATTGCAGTCTCTTCAATTTACTATAAAACAGTCATAGTTCAGTTGATGTTTTCTTAGCATTTTGAGTGCTGACATGCAACTTCCTGTGTCTGTGGTTTTCCGCAGAAGAGAGAATAAAGGTCTTGGAGAGGTAAGGGCAGTTTTATATCTGATTATTAAAAGTTGCCGCTAAACAGGGAAAAGAATTACAGCACAGATTTTGAAGGTTCAGTATTTTGAAAAAGTAAGATCTGCAGGAATTAAATCATTTCTGCTCTTAATTGTATTGTTCAAATGGTTTTAGTAAAATGTACTGGCTTTTATAGTTGTGCTAACTTTTAAATAATTTTAAACTACTTTCCTAAATCACTTTATACTTTGAATAAATATTAGATCTTATTTTCCAAATTAATAATCTTATGTGGATTTCCTAAATGTTGTCTAGAAACTCAAATCAAGGTTTTAAGTGATTTGTAATAACCAGGTCATTTAGTTTGCATTAAATTATTTTCATTGAGCTGATGGCAATTAATATTTCAAATGTTTAGTTGAAATACTGATCTGTCATCAAATTCATAAAATTAATTTTGTACTAAAACAACTCTATTCAATTGAATTAAGTAGAGCTATATTTTAAAACAATATTATTTGAGCTTCAAGTAATTTGCACTGTAGCCTTGACAAGACTTTTCAGACTCTATTCTGAGAATAGTTATTCAATCGGTACAGTAACTGCTTACAACCACTGTGTTGGTAAAGACTTCAAATCTAATCAGTATGTGTGCTAACTATCCAAAGGGCAGAAATATAACTGAAATGTCTGTTACATTAACTTCATGCTCAGTACAGCCAGGATGGGAGAAGCTGTGCAAACTTATAAAATATCAGATTGAGGGCTAGAATAGTAGTATTAAAACTCTTTATTCTTGAACCTGTAAGACTTGAGAAATGAAATAGTAGTGGCCTCTTCAGGCTAGCAAGGTTTGAAGTGAATTATACAATTGTCAAATGGGTTGGAGCACAAAATAACTAATTTGAAATTAGTTTGCGGTCTTGACCTGACATGGAAAATTGGGTGAACAAAGAATCCACTGCTCAGTAATAAGTTCTTTATTTCCTGAAGGAAAAGGGGCAGTGAGTAAATGTGTGTGTGGGTGGACACAATTTTATATTGCGACTTTTTCAACGTTGATTATTATATTTGAGCATTCTCTTTTTCAAAGAAAAATATTGGACTTTGTTCAAAGCACAGGACAGACAAAATGTTCCTGTAGAAAGGTACTAAAATAAACTTTATCCTCAAACTTGAAGCATGTCTTCAGTTATTTACACTTTGATATAAGCAATCTTTGTCTAGTTTTCTATCTTTAGCTGATTTAAATTGTATTCATATTTTCCTTGTACAGCATTTCCATTCAAGTTTTACAGCTTTTATTTTTCGTGGGATGCAGACATTGTTCACAAGGCATCACTTAATGCCATTTATTGTTGCTCTAACTCATTTAGTCAACAAGAATAACATAAAAAGCAAGACTGAGAATATATTGTATTTTGCTTCAAGATTAGAACGAACAAATTTTAGCTTTTCACTGTACCATAGACCTTGTTTTACTTGCAATTAGTCCATAATTTAAATGCACTGGATTCATTTTCCTAACATCCCATGATGGATTTGAACTTGCACCCTCTGTCACAAACTGTAGTTCTTGCTACTACAACAGCTTTAAACTATTTTGTCAATTAACTATTATATAATCTGTTTTCTTTTGAGCACTTGAAGTTCAAAAATGCATTGATAATGGAGATGACTCTACAGAACATACTGAGCTAACCTTGGATCTATAAATGTTAGAAATTCTTGATTAATTACCCTTAACGTGCTACTTGAATGTAAGGATTTAGATTTGAACCACTGAGTATTCTGTTAATAGAAACCATTGCCTTTTCTAGTTTGTTTTGGGGTGTGCAGATTTTTTTTATATCATGGATTGGACTTTTTACTGCCCCTCAATAGCCAATGTGGCCAATTGTACCTTTTTTAACCTTTACCCCAGCTTCTGTTACAGTACCTATTGTTATCTGTCCAGTAGTTTACATTGCATTTGATTTGTTTAGTAATTTAATTTCAATCATTTTGGAAAAGAAATGTGGGTCTTAATGTCTTAAGATAGCATCTTTAGAGTTAAAACTTTACGTGTGTTGAAGTTGTGGTTTTTGCAGTATAGCTTCAACCTGTTTCAATTTTAATTTGGTTTTTGTTCCATTTCTTCAAAATGGAGCTATTGACCTGAGGTCAAACTATTGATGTACAGTTTAAAAGTAAGGTGGATGTTTCAAAGTACTTGTGGAAAGAAATATGCAAATTTTATTCCCCCACACATCTTGACTTCTAAACTCTTTGGGGTTGTTTCACAAATTAGGTATTCGTTAGAAAGTAGTTACTGTACTTGTGCAGATGACTGCTCACCCGAGTACAAAAATCCAAAATAAAGTTTCTCATGCCTTATGTAGTAAATGGTATCAAAGAGTGGCATTTTGAAATACAGATGATTTGGCAGAAAGGCACAACATCCAATCTTGAATTGTGAAACCGATTCACATTTAATATAGAGACAACACAGTGTGAAGCTGGAGGAGCACAGCAGGCCAAGCAGCAAGAGAGGAGCCAGAAAGTTGACATTTTGGATCAGGCCCATCAAGTCCAAACTGACCCTCTAAGAGCATCCCACCCAGACCCATCCCCCTACCTTACCCCTGTGACCCTGCATCTATCATGGCTAATCCATCTAATCTGTACATCCTCGGACTGTGGGAGGAAACCGGAGCACCCGGAGGAAACCCATGCAGACATGGGGAGAATGTGCAAGCTCCACACAGTCACCCAAGGCTGGAATCGAACCTGGGTTCCTGGATCTGAAGCAGCAGTGCTAACCACTGAGCCACCATGTCGCTGCATTTTCATGGTAAGATTGTGGGGCAGTTGCCATAAAATTCACTTGAGCTTTTTTGGAAAATGTTTGAAATTTTTCTGTCAGATAAACCAAATTAAATTATTGTGCTGCTGCAGGATAGAATTAGATGACAATACTTACAGTTGGAAAGGGGTTTTCTTCAGTAATTTTGCAGCTGAAATCCCTTTACTGTATGCATTAGTTCAAGATCCTAAAACATGAGAGCATTGTCAGATATTGGAGGGCTCTTGTAGAATAATGGTAGTATCCCTTCCTTTGAACCAAGGCCACCTGGCTCAAAGTCCTACCAGTTCCAGAGGTGTTGATTAGAAAAATTTTTTGGGGTATCGGAAAATGTAGTGTTATCAGCTTCATTAATGTATACACTTTCCAAAATTTTCTTTGCATATCTTCTTTCAAGAGCCCAGTATGACCTTTTAATGTTAACTGTTTGTCTCGGCAGATGCTGCCAGGCCTGAGTTTCTCCAGCAGTTTACTGGGAATCTGAGATAAAAACAATCTCAATATTGCTGCTTTCTGACAGTCCAAATAGAATCCTAGGTGCTCAAACAGGTTAAGCAATCCTTTGTCAACCTGGTACTGCATTTGTTAGTTACCCTTCCTTGAGCAGTGAATTAATTGATAGGCAGGGGTCTAGGTGGGAAATGGGGAAGAAAATTCTATAATTCAGCCCCAGGATTGTTCAGTAGCAGAACTTCAAAGAACATCATGAACAAGATTGAGCCCTTGACACTTCCAGCGATACATGCTGTTGGTTGTAATTGTAGCTAAATTCTAACACTTATTGGGGATAGCTAAGTTGTCAGTCTTGTTTGAGGGGTCTTATTTTGGCTGCTACATGCAATAAAGTTTAAGTAATTGTTTTAGTAATTGTATTCAGAAATCTCAGACATAGCTAACTTAAACATAGTTTGTGGAAGTTAACACACAACAATCCAGAGAACCAAGTAATGTTCTAGGGACCTAGGTTCAAATCCTGCCATGGCAAATAACGGACCTTGAATTCAATTTTTTAAAAGATCTGGAGTTAAGTCTAATAGTGACCATGAAACCACTGTCAATATTCAGGAAAATGTATTTGGTTGCTAATTACCTTTTTGGGACGGAAATATGCCATCCTTACCTGATCTGGTCTGCATGTGATTCCAGATGCTCAGCAATGTGATTCTTGGCAGTTAGGATGGGCAGTAAATGCTGGGCTAGTCAGCAATGTCCATGTCGTGTGAATGAATTAAAAAAAATTGCAATTAATTATTTTTCCAGCAACATGATCCAATACCAACTAATTCCAGAATGCCAATGAATCTTTCTTTCAAAAAAGATGAAGACACTATTTGAAAGTAATTCTCTCTGCAGGATGTAAACTTGACTTTCACGAGCCCATGATTGGTGATACAGAATGTAAAGTCAGGGCTTTGCTGACTTTATATTGGTAAACTTAAATTGATTTTTATCAATTTAAATGCTATTCAGAAAAAAAGTAAGTAGCAATATTGTACTTTTAGAAACAGCTTTCTCCAGTTGCTTAAAGTAAAACTTCATCATAACCTCTAAGCCCAACTTATTATTTAAAAGACTTGGGGCTGTTTATTCTTTACACAGGTCAGGAACAATCTCTTAGTTTCTGTAGGAAATAACTTGAGGGGAAAAAGCACATTCATATGGTCATAGCAGTCATGTCTAGCAACATGCAAAATAGACTTTTTGCATGAGCACAGCATAGCTTAGAACGCCAGCCAATTACTACTTATTCAGGGATTGCAGTTCTATTTGAAGAGACATGATAAATTTAGTCCACAGCAGCTGCTAACGTAAATGTAAACCTGTAAAATTTTGACTGTTCTACCTCTGCAGTTTGAATACCTTCAGTCTTTTTTTTCACAAGATATATTTTTCTTCTGCCTGACTTATCGCCAAGAAATATAGATTAATAAAATTTGAGGTAGAGATCATACATTTAGTTTCTAGTGATCAGCAACTAGACCAGGAATGGCAGGCATTGTACACTGTCTAAAAGTAAAATTATCCATGTATACTTTTGCATAAACAATTTTTATCATCACATCAAGAACTTTAATTGATCGTGCTTTCAAGTAAGACATCCCAAGATGCTTTGCAAACATTAGAACAAAAGTTTAATCTATTACGATAGTTGAGAATATGGAGAGACTTGACAATGAGAATGAGTCAGCAAAATGGATGGTTGGGGGAATAGGATGTGGTGCAAGTTAAGATGCCAACGGTCGAATTTTGGATGACCAGGTTTACACCAGGGTAGAAGAGATCTTGTGTTGATTTCTCTGGACCAGCAGTGTGTTGGAACATGTCAGAACAGATTGATTAACTACAAAAGGGTGGAGGTGGGATGCTGGTCAAAATCCCATTTGGATGATGCAGACTTACTGCTTTAAATTTTGCTGGTAACCAAAGGGCTCAAAGTGAACCGGCTTCTTCCTGCTTGATACTTTTTTTATTTATTGCTTTATTTCATTCTGGTATGCAACACAACTAATGCTTGAAATGACCGAATACAATCATAAAATTCAAACGGTATGCAAATTTCATGTTCCATTGTACTTTCTGAAGTCTTTGTGACAATAAGAATGCAATTTAGAATTCTAGGTCTTTTATAGTAATCACTTTGAAGGCACATCATTAGATCACTGCTTTTTAGATGTTATAGCCATGAGGTGTAGGCCACTAGTTGAGCTTTTGTTAGCTTGATAGTTCTGCTAAATTAGGTAGCAGAGTATTGAATGGTTGCCAGCCCAATCTTTTTTATATATTAAAGGTACTGTTCTTTTTTGAAAGAAATTGAGTCTTGCACAAACCAGTTTCCAATGTTTATTGCATAAATACTGGTTTTCACTATATAATGGTAATTAAAACACTGGTTTTGTTTATTGGAAGGTCCCTAAGGGCTCAATACTCAACGGAGTCATCTAATTTATGATGCATTCAAGGTGTTATCACCTTGCTTCCATCTGTCTTGATGCTATATAGCTTTTGGATTGTACAGATGACATATTTAGCATACAATTTACATCCAAGATACATTGATACTATAAGCAAAGCTACTACCTTTTGATGTGCAGTATTCCTCTCCTCTGCCAATGTGAATGATTTTATGACTGGTTTTCAAGCCATATCTTACCTTTGTACATTAGCAATGTATGCAGCCAACAAGAACATTCAAGCTTGCTGCCAGCCAGGAGCCAATATCTGGCTTGTTTGGCACCCCATCCTGCACCTTAAACTTCATCCCCTCCAACATATTTACAACATGACTGCTATGTATACAGTTTTAAAAATGCACAGCATGAACTTTGTCAACTGTA